CCCCCCCCCCCCTCCTCTGTGTGTGTGTGCGTCTGGTCCATCTGTTTATCTGTTGATCAATTAATCTATATGTATGTACTATATATCAATCAAATCAAATCAGTCACTCACTCACTCAATCAATCTATAATATTCTATATCTGTTAATCCATCAGTCCAAAATTCCAAATCAATCCATCAGTCCAAATCAATCAATCCAGTGAATCATTCCCAATCAGTCCATTCCAATCGGTGCATCAATCCATCAAAATTCATTAAAATGATAAAATCCATCAGTCCATGGCGCATCCTCGTCAATCTGTCTGTCTTCGGTGAGATCTTTCCTGAAGTGTACATGTTGTGTGGAACAGGTTTGTCTGCATGCAGGATCACGGTGCAACCCAAATCGCAGGTCATTTGCGCCTGAAATCGAACCCCTGATGAGGCATGTTGCCCCATTTTTGGAGAAGCACTTTGCAAGCCATGTGGATGTGAGAGAACCAGCTATGGCTGACACTTGTCTATACGCGATGACTCCAGACGAAGACTTTTTGATTGATTTTGTTCCAGTTGCACATTGGGGAGGTGTGGGCCAGGGTCCAAAGGATGAGAATTCCATGGAGATTGATGTTGAGCCGAGATTGAGGAAATCACCCATTGTCATTGCTGCTGGATTCTCGGGTCATGGGTTTCAGATGGCGCCACTTGTGGGGAAAGCAGTCGCCGATCTTGTGACGACAGGTACGAGCAAAGATATCCCGCTTGAGCAGTTCTCACTTCGGCGGTTCCACCGTAACACTGGAGCAAAGGGCGATGAAACGACAATGCGGCCGCACGTCAGATCGTCTTTGTGACAGCGATGGGAGGTCGGGAAACAGGGGGTGAAAAGGAGAGGAATGGATACTTGCAGCGGGGACGACGGGAGTGTGAGTGAAGGAGAGGTAGAAGAAGTCGAGAGAGCGCAGGAAGAACGAAGCAAGCATGCAAACTGTGGATGTGAGGAACAGAGGATCGTAAGACATGCTGGCTACCAGTCGGCATGCTCGCTAATGAGAGAGAACGGCGATGATGGAAAAAACAGCTATGGTGGAGGTGTGTGGGATGATGTTAGCAGAAGAGGAGAGAAGGCAAGCAGTGGCAGTCAAGCAGGTGATATTAGGAGGCCGTTTGAGGTTGCGCATGGTGTGTGAAGATGACAGCCGAGAGATCTGTCAGACCTAGAGGTATGCTTGCTTGATGTCCGTGTCCCTTTCATCTGTCACTCTCTCTCTTTCTCTCTTTAATTCTGTTCTTGTTGTGCCCAATACATTTTTTATTATATATATATTTATTTGACGATATATATATATATATATATATATATAGATTGCTGGGGAGCCCTCCTTTTTCCCGTCCTCCATGTAAGTTCTGAATTTGAGATGCTATGCTGCAGATCGCCAGATCTGCCATTGCATTTCTTTTTTCCCACGAGGGGAGGGGTGTGGTCGTGGAATCATCTGTGCTTTTGGCCCTTTTCAAAGATTATTTGAGAGTTCTTGGTGGTGCTGTTCGATGCGATAAATATTTTTTTTTAGTTAAGGACCTGTGCAGTGATTGTGTGCAGACAGGTTTGAGGGAGATGTGCGGCCTTTGGGTGTGTTCTCTCATGCTTTGGAGTTTTAAAGTGGTGCGGAAGTTGCTTTCACCACAACAGGCTCGTTTACCATAAGGACCAGATTGATTGGTGACCTTCGATTGTGCACATTATATTTATTGAAATTTATTCCCATGCCACAAAGCTGCAATTTGAGAAGTCTGTTCCAAGGGTAGATGGTTTGAATCGAAGAAGACAAGGGAATGATGCCGGTGGGAAGGGATCGTGATACAAGAGAGACATGCAGGAGGAGGATGTAGAGAGACAAGTACAGGATGGTTAACTTCGTCGGATACAAGGTTTGCCTTCATTCATAGTCATCGTGATCGTCATGATGATAGGAGCAATGAGGTAAGCCCTACGAGATCCCGTTGCTGGCGGTGATGGGTGGAAATCACCAGCGCCTAGGGATCATCAGGCTAAATCATCGTGTTGGCCGACGGGTAGGCTGAATATGTGCAGCGGCGATTTAAGCTGATTTTCTTAGGCTGTTGGAATCAGATCATATGTACAGTCAGTACGGGTGGGGCCACTTAATTGGCCCCCTTTGCAACTAGGCCAATCTGGAGGAGGGTTCGTGTTTGAACCAAGGTCGTCAGCGTTGGGAGATCAGACGATCTGTTGAGGAAAGTGAGGTGATATGTTTTAAGATTGTCTCGGGACCAACGCCCGTAAATGAGCATGGATGGCGTCGGGACTAATCTGTGGCTGACCTGCTGAAGGAGTACGGAACTATGCGTCCATCGGCCGTGGGAATGGGTCCCATAAGATGGGCCATAATAAGAATGGAATACGTCGTTGCATGACTTACCGACGAGAAAAGGCAGACAGGTTGTAGAATGTTCTTTGCGCAAAGGCCCGCAGCAGGATCTCCGTGACCGAGATCGAGGGCCTTCCAGGAGCATCTGGTTGCCGCGGCATTGACAGGCGATGGGATTGACGGCCCATTGGGAAATGATAAAACCTGCAGCACTGCCGCAGGAGACATGATGGGATGGCTAGGAACTCCACCTCGCGACTTGCTTGTGCTGCAACAACGCATGCCGAGAGTTCAGTTTGTGAAGGGACGATTGAGTGTGATGGAAAATGCCTGCCTGGCAAAGTCAGTAACCATGGTGAAAACATGTGATGGGAAATGCCTGGCAAAGCCAGTAACCATGGTGAAAACGTTGCGAACCACGGTGAAAACATGTGATGGGAAATGCCTGGCAAAGCCAGTAACCATGGTGAAAACTTTGCGAACCACTGTCCGTACCACCGGTGAGCATACGGAGCAGCAGGTTTTACTTCCGAGCATGAAATGTGCGATACCTACCTACACAGATGGAAGCTTGGAGACCAGCCGTTACAAGGGTTTCATGTACGAGGAATCAAGTCCAATTAACGCTGTTGGTTGCAAGGTGGGCGCATTTGCGTACTGTACTGCGTTGACAGGCCGTCAGCATGAAACCTGCACCGCTTTGGAGGCTGCCAGTTTTTTTTTTCAACAGCGCCCCGGGCAGCGCGGAGCCTCCGAGTTTTGCTTGTGGCAACAAAAAACTTTCTGCAAGGCTGGGGCCGTGTACTAGCGGCTTAAGCTGGTGCTTGCTTGGTACCAGGGAACACAAGACGAGGCAGGTGTTGGCCTAACAGAACAGAGCACGGCTGGGTCACACACGGATGAGACAACGATACTGCAGGGGACACCAACCGATACTGCAGGGGGCGATTACCCATGAGCAGAAGTCATGGGAGTAAGTCCATAATTTACCTGTTATGATGGGTCACACACATTTAATCGTAAAAAGGTGTTCGGATGCTCGCTGTGCTATGCAAGTGCTGTTTATTGTTAGTGACTTGTGTTACTTGAGTCGCAAACACTCGGAGAAATGATGTTTCATCGAAGATTATAGATTATAATCAGAGGGATGAGATGGGGAGCAGGTTCGGCGGCTGTGTGTTGGCCCTTGGTTGTGATTGCCAGTGTTTTGATGGTGAGCGTGCGGTGCATTATGCCCACTGCTGAGCATCTCTTGCCGACCTTTTGGTATGGGGTCTCGCTATAGAGGGGGCGGCAGATGGAGAGAAAGGAGTAGGCAGCTCACAGCCCACAACAGCGGCGTGTAACGGCTTCGGGGAGATGGTTAGCTTTTTTGTGCGTCCAATCTGTGCAGGTTCAGGTTCGGATAGGCAGGCTTAGCACGACGGTTTGCGTGGAGTCGCCCTCTTTTCTACCTCCTAATTACGGAATACGAGGGTTATGTGAGGATGCACCACGTCGATGGAATGGATCGTTGTCTCCAGGAGCAGGAGACCCCAGAGATAGCGATTTTATGTGTAGACGTCTTGCGATCCTGGATTTGTGTTGCTGTGCATTCGGAGTTGTGATGATGTTTCCGGAATCGATGGTGTGGATGCTGGGAGAGCTCGAGGCGCCGTCTCTCACCTGTGAAGAAGCAAGTGAAGGCAGAGGGCGCGGAACGCAATGCTGGGAGAGCTTGAGGCGCTGTCTCTCACCTGTGAAGAAGCAAGTGAAGGCAGAGAGCGTGGAACGCGATTCCCATCTGGCCCATGATCTGGGATTGCTTCAGGGTATAGAGTAGTAGACAATGTTGTTGGGGTCTCATTAGATTGGAAAATTTTGGTGAGTGGTGAGGAGGGAGGGGGAATATGACGTTTTCCGTTTGCATTCAGATTGAACTAGCTGTCTCTGCTGATCATTCCCATTCTCATCCACGGGCGGGGACTAGTCAAAATCGCCAAGCACATTCCTTCCTGGTGGTGGTTTTTCTCCTCTTGTGGCCTCAAGTGGCTGCTGGACAAACAAGCAATTCTGAAGTGTTGCCTTGCGGACTTGATGGTGGGTAGCCAGATTTTTTGAATCGCCAATCGCATCGATTGGCCACAGGGTCGAGTTGCATGCTCAAATCTGTCCCTGAGGTTGGCGGAAGCTGATTTGCTGTTTCTTGCACACAAGGAATGTACACATGTAAGCGACACTCTCTCGTATTTTCCAAATAATATTCATCGTGTTCGACAGGGCAATCGGGATCCAAGAAAAAGCAGCAGCCTGTGGAGGGAAAACTCGGACAAGTCGTCACAGCAGTGGTCAGAGTCGTCAAACCGGCCGCTTCATCAACGAGTCGGGGAGGATCAACTGCCGGGAAGATAGGCTCGAAATTTTGCCAGCAGCGACAGCCATATTGTGTGAATCGGGCCCATTATCAGGAGAGTCAGTTCCCAGGTGCTCTTTTTTTAATGACATCGGAACATTATCTTGATGTTCAGGGGGCTGATCATGCTGATGATGCAATGAGATGGGTGTGGGATCATTGGTTGAATGGCGTACAACGGTGTTGTAAATAGTATGGACACTTCCAGTAAGATTTAGGAGAGGGAGGGGGGACTACTCTCTCTAAGGTGCTGTAAATGTGATCGGACGTTGCATTGGGAAAAGCACGGTAGTAGGGAGAGGGGTGTGACAGGAGGAGGAAAGGTACATTGGCAGCAGTCAAGCGAGGTGAGAGCCTGAGAGGAGGAGGAAGCTCACTCGGACAGGTGAAAGTGGGCAAGATGGGTTGAGGCGGGACTGGGCTGGGATGGGCCACACTCGAATAGACGGGGGATGGGCATGGTTGTCTGAGGTTTCGAGCCTTTGCGCGTATGGCAATGTCAAGGTTAAGAAAGAGAGCACATGTAATATTGGACCCTTGTTGTCCCCTTCCCTTGTTATCATCACAATCCAGTAGCACAAACGTTGTCTCCCCTCGCCACAATCTGATGCCCTTGAATAGACCTATTCAATGTGACACAGTGAACCAAAAGCCATATTAAGAGAGGAGGAGGAGGATGAAAAAGTGTGAGGACTGAGGAGGCGGTGGGGTATGGTGAAAGGAAGAGTGGCAGGAAGATGAGCTAGAAGAAAACGAACAAGAAGAGCCGGAAGCAGGAGGAGGAGGAGGAGGAGGAGGAGGAGGAGGAGGAGGAAAACGTGCGAGGATGGAGGAGGCAGCGGGGTATGGCGAAAGGAAGAGTGGCAGGAAGATGAGCTAGAAGAAAAAGAACAAGCGACATCGCAATGTGTTAATTAAACATTCTCAATTTGATTTTGTTATTAATTTTTAGTCCGGGTAATTTATACATGTATGGTTTAACGCCACTCACACTCAATAGTGGCCTTTTAGTCACCTGTCCCCCAATCAATATCAATAGATGGGTAATCAACTCCCATACGGAAGAGCAGGAAGCAGGAGGAGGAGGAGATGTTGAGAGGGGCTAGGATGGTAGGCTATGTCCAATGAACTTCAATCACTAACATAAAGCTACGGTTAAGAACTTAAGAACATGAAATCACGACGTAACCGTGTCATGGCATGGAAGAAGGAATGGGGCCTACAATGGATAGGTCAAAATTGGGCCTGGATTTTTTTTTTTTTTACTGGGCTGATTGGTGCAACTCGTTCCGGCACCACAAGCCTGATGCTTGCCCCACGCTTGCTATGGCGCAGCATCTCAGAGCAGGTAGAGAGATTATAGACAGGTTGATATGTATAGTCCTCCATCCACAGGCCAGCTGTCCAGGGTTTGCCAGAGCACCATTGCTCCTTGTTCTAGTTAAGACAGGTGTCCACACCTGCAATTATATCAGGAAGTTGAAAAAAAAAAAGAAAAAGAAAAAAAAAGGAAGTTGACTACGTCGAGAATGAATGCAGTGCTGAATGAAAGATTCCACTACACACACAAAACAAAAAAATAAAAATAAAAAATGTATGTCTTCTTTTTTCCCAGCGCAGGCATTATGTCAATCTTCCCATTCTGTAACAGCTTGCCCTGAGCCTGACCTGTTGATTTCCCAGAAAATCTTTGGTGGTTTGACCAGTCCTTAAGGGTTGGGGTTATGCACCTGTGAGATCCGGAGGAAACTCGATAGACGCTTGTGAATGACGCGGAGAAGTTTGTGTTCGGAAGTCGTGACGTGGACAAGGTAATATGCGGAACTGTCAGCGATTTTTGCATCTTGACGTCATTGACTGTTGTTAAATCTATATGAATTTGATTTCATGGTTGCGCTGATCAGGATACACCTGTCATCTGCATGTCCTTCTGTGGATGGTGCATTTGGTGGTCTGCTCAACCAGTTGCATTCAGGCAGGCTGAAACTGCACGGTTCTCGGTGATGAATGGCAACTGGGGGAATCTATAGAGTCGAATGCCTGGTAAGTGCACCCTTGCTTCGCCAATGATATTTATTCCTGCAGTGCGGAGTTGTCACGCGGGAATCCCCGGGGCCCAAGCCAGGGTTGCGGTTTGACCAACGGACCCCCGCGCGGAGACCGCTGGGGATGCGGGGATGCCCAGGGACAGCTGACCCCAGGCCCCCAGGGGATGCGAAAATGCCCAGGTGTCGAAATTTCGACGTATGTTTTTTTTTGCCTTCCCTACACTCCCGGCGAGGAGTAACGAGGGGAACTGCTTTTTTCTGGCCAAACAGTGATTCCGCAGGCCGTAAAAACTTCAAAACCACCCGGCCCTGCAGACCTGGCGTGGGCTGTTTCCCCAATCCTCATGCGGCCTTCCCTGACCCTCGGCTGGTGCTCCCACGCACCCCTGCTCTTGCTCCTGCCCCCATGTGTGCCATCGCCCCCGCCCTCCCCCCCCAAGGCGACCCCAACCCCTGCGCCCATCCCGGCCCCCGCCTCCGCCCCCACCCTTGCCCGTCTTCAACCCCTGACTCCTGTCTGCGCCCCTGTTCCACCCCTGCCCTCGGGCGTCCCCGACCGTGCCCCTGCACCAGGGACAGCCTCGGCCCCACGCCGAGGGCCACCCAGGCCTCGTTATGGGCAGGTGTCTCCCCGGGTGGGGGGTTTCCAAGGTAGGGGGAAATGGGCACGTGGCGGAAAATGCGACGAGGTGCGTGCTGTTGCTGAAGACCGCCCACTTTTTTTTTCGTTTTGTTTTTTTCCTTTTTTTTTTTAATTGGAGGGGTCCAGACCCTGGGTCGGTGGTGCCCACCCCCGACCTCCTGCCAAGGGTCCCGGGCCAGGGACGGACAATGCTGACGCAGTGAAAGCAATGCATTATTTTGCATATTTCTCCTTTTCCCTCTTTCGGGAAAAGGGGATAGCCCCTGGCATCTTTGCATCCATCTGAGCTCATATGGATTGCAATTTGCATCTCATGAGATGTTTGTTAACACAACTTAACAGTTACGTGTGTGCACAACTCGGCCACGTGGGCCAGGTATACCGGCCGCATTGGCGTAGTATATTATGAAGATGATAATTCCGGGTCGTGCACGTACGTCATCACTTGCATTCTCTCCGTTCTGTGGTATGTGAGGGCATGAAGTGACAGTTGCAGTGCAGCATGGAGTCATTTATTTCAGACAATTGTCTCTAAGGCTCTAACACTTTTAGGGGAAAGTGGACTACACGATAGCAACCTGCGTGGGGAAAATCTCCCTGTTTGCCCCTGGCTGGTGGCTTGTCCAGCCCTCACACCTCTTATGGGGATAGAAGCTGTTGAGCCAACTGGCTGCAGTTTTTAAAGAACCTTGTGGAGGACTTCCCATCCCTCTCAGACAGTTTGACTATCACAGAGGGGCAGTGTGTGCTCTTGGTAGTTGTTCTGGAGCTCTCACATGGGCCTACCAACCTCAGGAAGGAGCCAACCGTCACACAACGCCGGTAGGCCCTGATGGTATAACAGTTTTAGCCGTTTCGGACGGCCAACAGCCAGCAGCAACTGGCTCTCCCACTCTTTGTCCGAACTGCCTTTCCCACAGCAACTTGCCACAAGAATGTTTTACACAGGAGCCTAGCTCAGTGGGTACATCCATGAACTGTTGAAATACAAACCCGAGTTCGAATCCAGATGATGATGAAACTCAATGGGTAAATTGCCCGGGGCTGGTCAGCTCAATGTTGATATCGCAAGGCTGTAGCCCCTTTTTTTTTATTTTAAGTGTGTGCCACGTTACCAACCCTCCCCACCGTTGTGCAACCGACCTTCTTGGCCGCATGGCGTGCAGCTGAAAACTCTCTCTCTCTCTCTCTCTCTCTCTCTCTCTCTCTCTCTCTCTCTCTC